GCTCTCCTTGGCACAGCCATGCTGGAACCAGCTACAGAGACCCTTTCACAGACCCAAGCCCCAGAGGACATCAGCGTCCGGCTGAGAGTCCCCAGCGTCCTGCCGATGTACAGTCACTCCATTTCTGTCCCTGCTGGGTCCTCCTTGGAAGATGTCCTGAAGAAGGCCCAGGCGCTTGGAGGATTCACGTGAGACACTCCCCTCCATTGCCCCCCACCACCTCCCATCCCTCACCTACCTGACCCCACTTCCCTGCAAGGGGGTCTCAAGAAAGATGGCGTGGAGGAAAGAGTCCCCTAGAGAGCAGCACCCGCCCAGGCTCTGCTTCCACCTTTTCTACCCCTGACTCTGACTCTATAGCAGATACAGGGTGCTAAGGGTGGCATGCAGGAACCCCACATTGGAATCCCAGCTCCACCACTTGGAACTGTAGGACCCAGAACTCACCCCCAACTCAGTGAGGGTGCCAGATGTCTGGGCATGAGTGCCTATACAAGATTTGACGCAGGATTTTTATAGGTGCCAGGGCCAGCACGGGGTAAGTGCTCGATCTAACTGGCTTTCATAAAGATAAGAAGTTTTATTAGCAAACAATCGTTGTCTAATCCCTTGGCGAATTACCAAGCGTGAGCCCTCAGTAGCATGTGGATGTTGGACATTTTTCAACTTGCTTCTCATCTTGAGATTTGACACTTCGCATCTGCAAAGTGCTGCCCTGTGCCAGGCTTGTCTGTGCCTGAATAAGATGGGAAAGGTGGAGGTGATCCCCAATGTAGCTCAGGGAGTCGAGCCCACTAGACACCTGGGCCCGGCTTCTCTTCTAGAAAGAGATGCCTCCGTTCCAGACGGCCCCAGTTTCAATTCTCCTACTGGCATTCCCAAAGGACAGCATCCTACAGCCAGGGGCGGGGGTGGGGGGGAGTGCTGTTGCCCTAGGGCTCATCTGGGTTGGGGAAAGTCTGGTCAGAGCCATGCAAAGGCCGCTGAGAAGGACAATGTTCTCTGGACTCCACATTGACTCATTTCTGTTCTATGAACTAGGTGGGCGCTGATAATATGTTTGCTACTACAAGGCCTTTCTCTTTCTGGCTCTGGACAATTAAAACCCTAGACAACTTTGTGAATTAAGTACAAAGAAAACTGTAAAGCCTGTGGAGAAGCAGGTGGCCCTGTCCGCGGCCGAGAGCCTGGTGCTCTTAACCTCCTGGGTCCTAGCTGCCCCAGCAGCGAAGGCCCTGGCGGCACCCCCCCCCCACTTCCTGGCACCTGGGTGGTACTGCCAGGGGCGCATAGACCCAGAGAACTGCCCACCAGCCCCCTTGGCAGACCTGTCTGCAGCCTGCTGACGTTCGTGCTTAGATATTGTCATCAGAATGAAAAAAACGGAGCCTGACATGTCATTCAGAACTCCAGAACCTCTGAGAAGCTGTCAGGGACACGGATCTGAGGAATAATTCTCTTGTTGGTTGGGGTGGGTGCCCTCATGGGTTCAGGGATCAGTGATGAAGGTCCTGTCCCGCACAGGGACCACACCACAGACTCAGCCCTATAGCAAGCCCTAGAGAGAGGGTCGTGGGTCGGTGGGGAGGAGAGAGAGGGAGAAGGGGGGCCAGGGGGAGACAGGGAGAGGGGGGAGGGAGGGAGGGACAGAGAGAGAGACATGATGTGCTCGGAGAAGGGCCCCAGCAGCCAGCCAGAGTGGAAATGACTGGGTACCTGCGGCTACGTTCCCTAAAATAATACTCTCGCTTTGTCGCATGGGTGGGCTTTTTACCCCTCTTCTTAAAACTACAAAAATCCTCCCTCGGCCGCTGATAAGCCTCTTGCAAGGAGTTTCAAGAGGACCCTTTGGCAGTGGCGCCCATGGGTTGGATATGTAGGACGGAGGCGAGAGGCCCGGGGGTCTGAGGAGGGAGCCTCTTGGCACCAGGGCCCATTCTCACTTCAGTCCTCTCCAGGAACCGGGCAGAGGTAGAATCAGAGAGGAGCAACCTGGCCGCAGGAAGTGAGGTCACAGAATCAGGTCCCCAAGTCATGGGATCTTCCTGACCACAGACCTGGTCCCACCACCGGGTGTCTCTGTCCTGCCTCGCATGTTTGCGTCTCTCCGCATGGCTCACCCTCTCCCAGGGGAGACAGGGTCTTCTGGGCGAAGCTAGCAACTTCGATTCTCAGCTCCTATGTCATCCGCCGCCGGGTGGGGGGCAACAGCTGAACTGATCATAAAGGGTGCCCCTTCCTGCAGGCCATGGTCATGGCCAGTACCAAGGGGGTGAGTCCCTAAGTGGACAGTGTCAGGCGGGGATGGGGAGGAGGGGCAGCCCCCCAGGAGGGGACCAGGCTTGCCCAGTGCTGGCCACGGAGCAGAAGCACCTCTTCTCCCTCTTCACTTTCCCGGCAGGTATGGAACCCAGGCCTCCTTGTCAGGTCCCTACCTGACCTTGGTGATGGGGAAGGAAGCCGGGGAACGTGAGTTCTGGCAGCTCCTCCGGGACCCCGACGTCCCCTTGCTGCAAGGTGAGTTTAGGGACCTGCCACCTCTGGACGTGTCCCCCATCTGCCCCAGAGAGAAGCCTCTCCAATCACCCCAGCTTTCCCCTGACCTTTCCTGGTCCAGATAAGTGTGGAGGGCCAGGGTTGTATATCATTCCATTCATTGAACTGAATTCTTTGAATTCTCTAGCAATTCTAGGACAGCAGAGAGACAGCAAAGAAAGTTAAACATCACCCAAAATTTACATCCCAGAAATGCCTTCTTATAACTTCTAGTGTGTTTCCTCCAGATCATTTTTTAAATATAGGGCTTGTTTGTTTTCATTAAAATGGAGCCATATTCTGTAGCAATGCTGACAGAAATAAAAAGTGAGGGGTCTATCTATTCTAAATTTCTGCTTGCTGAAATAATACTAATAATGTTTTATTTAATCAGTGATCAACAATATTCTCATACCAAGATGTCACCAATGCAAGGTTATTGATGACATATTTTGTATGATTTTTTTGGGGGGGTACCAAAATTTCAGGTCAGCCTATTGGAGACCCAGCTCTGTAGATGGTTTCACTGCTTGATTTTTTCATTCTGAATATATTACAGATACTTTTCTATGTTGGGATATGCAGCTCTCCCCTGTCTTTGTAGAAGCATCTTCCTCTAGGGTACTTTGGGTAACAGGAAATGCAATGCAAACCAGCTTCCGTGGTGTGAGACCCACTGGCTCATGTGGAGTCCAGGGGGAATAGGGGCTCCAGGGTTGGGCTGTTCAGGGCCAGCCTGCCTCCCCACGACTCCCTTCTCCTCTAGGGAGGCCCTTCTGCGTCTTCCTGCCATTGTCCCCTTCATAATGGAGAACACTTGTCTCTGGGTTCCCTGACAAACTTCTGGTGTCTCAAAGGTGGAAGAAGCACGGGGGCTTCTCGGACCCGCCCCTGTTGCTAGGAGTGGCCCAGGCTCTGCACCTTCCGCTGGCTAGAGAGAAGGGATGGCGGGACCAGCCCGGGCCCACCCCAGGCTGTGTGAGGCACAAGCGGCAGTGGAGTGGAGTCCCAGGCTGTAATTCTCCAGCTCCTGCCGGACCTCCAGGTGTCCCCAATCTGACTCACAGGCCCCAAGCTGTCGTGAGCATCCTGGTGCACAAAGCTGGTCACCAGCCGTACTCTGTCCTGCTCCCGCCACCTGCGCTTCTGGGCACTGGCCACATGCCGGCACTGGGCGGCTGGCCTTGTAGGTGGGACTTTCTGAGGGGGCCTGTGGAAAACATTCTTTTTCCCTGCCTGTTTTTTGACCAAAGTGAGAAATAAAACAAAGGGGTGCAGAAAGAGAAAGAAAAATACCGGATGGTTTCACTCATAGCAGGAGTATAATGGACCAGGCGAGAAAATAACAAAAATAATGAACAACCATATACCAGAGACATTCTGTGGGGGCGGAGTGGGGAATTGGGATCAAAAACGGGAGGGGGGGAAGGGAGGGAAATGCATGGGACTAGGGTGGTGGCACAGGGGTGATCTGGTGATGGGAAACCCGCGGGGATTACAATCGGGATGGAAAAAAAATGTGCAAAATGATGTAAAAACAAAGGGGTGCCGATGTGGCGCCCTTATGGTAAAGGCTGTACTGGAGGATGTGACCTGGGGGAGGACCCAGTGGACATATGGAGGCCGTAGACTTGAGCTTCTGAGATCCCCCCAGCCCGACAGGAAGTCCTGGGAAAAGGGAGGGGCTGGCTGACCCCAGCACTCCCAGAGGCCCAACAGCTTGTCCTAAGCCACACAGACAGTGAGCGGCAGAGCTGGGGCTTGAATCCCGGGGCCCCACACGAGCTTGATGTGCCTTGTGAGTGAAGGCTGACTCTCCCTGGTTCTCCCTCCATGCCCCACCAAGAAAGTTCCTCTTTCTCACAGCCCCTGCAGGACTGCAGACAATGATCCTGGGGGTGGCCTGTCGGGGCCTTGCTTCCTTCCCCTCCGTGTGGGTTATCTGCCCCCTGCCCAGTACTCCTACTCTCCAGGGGATTCCCCCCTGCAAAAAGCCTCTGGGCCTCCAGGACCCTGAGTTGAGTAGTTCAGTGTTTTCCCACAGCCAAACCCTGAGAGGATGTCCCAGACCTGTAAGAGTGGGGAGATGAGGTTGGGGCGTGGGACACCCTGCCCTGGGAATCTTCCCCCACACCTGGTCTGTTTCTGCAGGTATTGCCGACTACAGACCCAAGGATGGTGAAACCATCGAGCTGAGGCTGGTGAGCTGGTAGCCGACTTCAGCCCTGTACCCTCTCTGGGCCTCTGCCTCCACCCAGACACTTGGGGCATGGCCCCATCATCTCAGTCGCCACTCGGCGGGGATCCAAAGCCACCGCCCAGCCAGGAGCAGGGAGCCAAGCACCGCCCCAAGAGGTCCCCTGAAAGTCACCCAGAGGCTGCAGTCTTGAAGCATCTCTGACTCCTCAGCACCAGAGTATCCCTGCCCCCCACCCACACCCCTGCCACTGGCATCGTGAGCCCGTGAGCCCCACTGGCTCTGGGGCTGGGCACCTGCAGGAAGGATGCCAGTGTCGTGGGCACCCCCAAAGCCAGTGTGGGGAGCGCATTAGCTGGTGAAGACTCCACAGAGCTGCTCAAAGTCTGCTTCCAAAATGATTAAAGCATTGATTGTGCACTGGCAAAATGCCCGAGTGCCTCATGCTGGGGACCAGAGGAGGGGGATCCCGCCAGGGGTTGCAAAAGAGAGCAGGTGACATTCTCCTGGGAACTGGGATAGTTATGCTGCTGACTTTGTTATAGGGCACATACTCGCTGACACTTTTGCACAAGCCAAAGTTGTTATTTTCCTTTTCATCTCTGCATGACAGAGAAAGAAACTGGTCTTCAAGGAAGAAAAGTAAGCATCGGGCAGGGCCCGCATCTGGGGTGGCCTTCTGACTCCTCCACTGAAAAATGGGGGCATCCGGGAGAGCGATGATTTTGTGCCAGAGCCCAAACTCAGCTGGGGGCCCAGGAAGGAATCTGAGCCCCTGCTTTTCCTACGTGAGGCCACCACCCTTCCTCGCTGGCCCTGGACTGTATGCTAGGAGTTGGGGTTCAGGCCAGGGGGCACCCCCTGCCCACAACTCACTGAGGAACGAAAGGGAGCCGTTAATCGGAGACACAGATTAAAGGGGCCTCTTTCTAGAGAGCCAGTTCTAAACCCTGGGCCGGGAGGAGAAGGAGGTGTTTTTAAAAATTCTGTTGTACAGAAACAAACATCAAGATATGAGAAAAACCTGCCTCTGCACTTCCCCACGCTTGCCCTCCTGGGGCAGGGAGCCTGCAGGGGGCTGTAAAGGTGCCCTGACTCACCAGTAGCCTCACGGCACAGGGTGGAGTCCCTCTGCCTCAGGTCACACGTCTGGAGATGGGAGAGCCAAATCCTCACCCCGTGACCTGAAGTGACTCCTTGCTGGTGTCACTGCACCAGGCTTCTGCCTCCCCAACCCCAGAGACACTGACTGAGGGAGCCACTCCCCTCCCAGGTAGGGGAGGCTGGCTGTGGCAGGCCTCAGGCCAGGCTGGAGATGGTCACCAGGGCTTTGAAGGGCCCACGAACCACGCGAGAGCCTCCCTCTGGAGGGAGGGTCCTAGTAGGAGCCGAACCCTGTTCAGAATTATTGAATCCTGTTCAAACCAAAGGTCATTTTCTGAAAAGACCCAGCTCACAACTTGGAGCAGTCAAGGGTGGCGGCTTCTGAGGGTGGTCCAGCTGGCCCGCCTCCCAGTTCAAGTCCTCAGCCCCTCTTACGGTGTGGGCCTATGTCCCAAAGCCCGACAGCACAGCCCACGGGTCAGGTGTCTGCCCAGCACCATCAGCAGGGACCCTGAGGAGGCATGTGGGTGAGAGGACAGGCGTGTCCCGTGCAGGGCCCACAGAGTCTAACAGACAGAGGCCCTCTCTGGGATCGGGTCCAGGCTCCTGTCCTACTTGTACTTAGGTCTGTGTGACTCTGACAGTTGCGTTTCCCCGCTATCAGCCTGCTTCCTAACTCATAGCTTCAGGCATGTGCCTTGGAGATACACCCGTGGGCTCCCCACTGATCACAGCAGTGGAATGCAGGTCCAGGGGTGCAGCAATGAGAGGAGAGGCCAACAACCCACAGCTTTTGCAGCTCAGTTGCTGGAAATGGTTCTTCTCTGGTCCAGTGCCATCCCGAGTCCCTCCCCACATTACCTGGTCTCTGCATTGGGCGGGGAGGAGGGGTTGTGGCAGGGACGGCATGGGGCGAGGGCCACACAGCTGACAGCTGAGCTTGGGGTAGACCCTGAGGAGTGCCGGGGTACCATGGAGGTAAGCTCCCTGCCCTGCACGTTCCCCAAAGGAGCATCCCACTGAGAGCCTTGCGGCCTTCAGGTCAGGGCAGTTTAAAACAGGGCTCCAGAGCCAGACAGACCTGCCTGCACCCCCACCATCCAAGAGGCACACACCTGGGCACCTTGCTTCCTCCTCTGCAGAGCTCTTGGCCTGCACCCCTCAGGGGCCGCCGTGGCAGTCAGTGGTGGTGAGTCTGCACCTTGGTCTCCCTGGGCTCCTGGCTGGGCCTACCTCAGAGTCACCTGCTTGGGCTCTGCCCTCAGCCATCCCAACTGTGCAGCCCTCTCACCCCCCCAGGCCCATTTAGGCTGCATCTAGTCTACCTTACTCCTCCCTGTAGCCAGGCAGGGCAGCTGGGGCCCCTTTGTGGCAGTCTTGGGGGACAGATTTTCACTGCCCACCACTCCCTGCCAGCTCATCTGGGAAGGACAGGGTGTTTATTATTCTTTTTAATTTTTATGTTTTTTATTAAAGGGAACCTAACTTGAAAGTTGACAAAATCCCCCAAAGAATATAAGCCTTAGGGGGTCCTGCGGCCTTCTGTTCAGGAAGTGTAGAGGAGGAAGGGTGCGCTGCCCCTTGCTGACTGCGCTTCCCTCCTATCGCCCCTTCTGGAGAAATCCTGTCTGTTTCCATCTCGCCAGGAACTCCCCTGCTCTACAATTGGTCCTATTAAGCAGTGACTTGCAGGTTCCATTGTGCATCAGAATCACCAGGGGCAAATGTAAAGATGCAGATTTCTGGGCCTACGGGAGAGCGAGCTAGCGAGCATCTGAATCAGGTCTCACCGTGAGGCTGGGGTTTCTAATCCAAGCTCAGGGATTTTGTTGCGGGTCGCTGGACACCTGCTGCCGTCCCAAGATCGAGCCAGCTGAGGGCGCCACGGGCCGGGATAAGCGGGCTCTCGTTTAGGTTTTCTTTTTTGTTCCTCCAGAGCGTTGCTGTCATCAAGGACTTGGTCAGACAATAAACCAGGGGGGAGCCGTGTCCCAGTGGGCAGGAGCTTCCGCAGGGAAGGGAACCTGGTGTCTGGGAAGAGGCTGGCAGCTGGCTCTGGGCACTTGGCTGGGCCAGACCTTCTGCCTTAGGCCTTGCCCACTTGTTCCCCGAATTCAGGGAGGCCGAGGCCTGTGACCTGGAATCCGGATGGGCCTGTCCTGCTCTAGGGCTCTGCTGTTTACCCGACCCTGGGCCCAGATAGGGGCGAGGGCTCAGTGACGGCGGCTCTGCCGCCCTGCCCTGGCTTTGTCTTGCCAGGAGTGGGGACAGAGGGTGGGTCCCGCGAAGGCCAGCTATGAGTCAGCTCTGAGGGCCCAGAGGCAGGGACCGGGGCTGCTAACTCGGGAATGATGCTTCCGCCGCTGTGGGTGACCATGGTGATTCAGCTTCCTTCTCAGGGCCCAGTAGGGACTCCGCCTTGGAGCGGGTGGAGGTGCTGGGGCTCGGGAGGGGCGACTCCAGGATGCTGAGGCCCTGTGGGATAACTGTGACGGTGGCGGTGGACCGGGGCTGGTCCTGGGACAGAGAAGGGCCCCTTCTGGAAGATGGAGTGGGGGGTGGGGAGCTGGAGAGAGATGGCCCAGTGTCCCCCGCCCTGTGTGGGTCGCTATGGGGGCTCTCCTTGGCACTGAGTTTGGAGGGGCCTGACCCCCACTGGTTGGGGGAGACAGACAGGCTGACCGCTCCGTTTCAGGAGCTCTGCTGATGGAGGGAACGCGATGTGGATGGAGCAGGGGCAGTGAGCGGCGGCGTGGGGGCGGGGCGAGACGTCCGTCCCGGCTCTGGGGCGGGGCCTGGCCGGAGGCGGGGCCGCAGTCTCAATCCAACTTCCCGGTAGGGGCACGGAGGCGGCGGGGGCGGGGCCAGGAGCGCGCGGCCACGCCCGCCGGGCCAGGCCCTGGCTGGAGCCTGGCGGGAGCTGCTCTCACTGCCGAAGCCACAGTCCGAGCTGCCGGGGTCGGAGCTAGCGCGCAGGCCGGGCGGGAGCGGGTCCAGCTTGCCACCTGACGCGCGGGTCGGAGGGTGGGCCGGCTTGTCAGCCTTGGAGTCTGGGCATTGTCGGGGGCAGCGAGCGGCCACCCCGTGGGCACCACCGGACGCGGGAACCTGGATCACCCCTCCCAGGCCTGGGCATCGCCGAGCACGCAGGAGATCCCAGGGTTTGGACGGAGGATTCTAAGAGCTCAGCTGGCCTCTAGGCGAGCAGAAGAGTGGAGACTTCAGCTGGCACGGGACAGAGGTGCCTGGAGCTTACTAGGCCAGACTGGACACCAGAGACCCTGGCATCCCTGCGCTCACGCTCTGGGTGCTGTCCTGCCGGGGCCGCGGACACAGCATAGCCCTGGACCTTGACTGGCACGGGCTTGGCGCAAGAAGTGCCCTCACGTGTCTGAGACAAGGAATTGGACCCAAGGAGGAAAAGGAAGAACAGCCCCAAAGTGGGGCTCTCTGGTGGCCCACAGTTGGCCACTAGGGAGCTGGCCTTCCACCCGGGCCCCCCTGGTACGGATGTGCCGCCGCCCGCTGGAGCACCATGACGGCGGGATGACTTCCACTAAGGCAGCGGTGATGGCAGGCGGGGCTCGGGTGGCCGGGTCCCCCGAGTGGCCCCCCGGGCCTCCCCCAGCCCTTGGGTGGCCCCGCCGGGCCCGGGTGGCCGTGGCAGCACTGGTGTGGCTGCTGGCGGGAGCCAGCATGTCGAGCCTCAACAAGTGGATCTTCACGGTGCACGGCTTCGGGCGGCCGCTGCTGCTCTCTGCGCTGCACATGCTGGCTGCGGCGCTGGCCTGCCACCGAGGGGCCCGGCACCCCATGCCCGGCCGCACCCGCCGCCAAGTGCTATTGCTAAGCTTCACTTTTGGCACGTCTATGGCCTGCGGCAACGTGGGCCTGAGCACTGTGCCCCTGGACCTGGCACAACTGGCCACCACCACCACTCCGCTGGTCACCTTGGCCCTGTCGGCTCTGGTCCTTGGCCGGCGCCACCACCCGCTGCAGTTCGCCGCCATGGGCCCCCTTTGCCTGGGGGCCGCCTGCAGCCTGGCGGGTGAGCTGCAGGCACCGCCTGCCGGCTGTGGTTTCCTGCTGGCTGCCACCTGCCTCCGTGGCCTCAAGTCCATTCAGCAGAGTGAGTGCCTGGGTCACTGCTTGAGGGGGTGGGGGTGGGGTGGATTTTGTGACCTGGAGGGTCCTAGGAGGGTTGTGGCTGTTATCCCATTTTACACATAAAGAAACTGAGGCTCAAGGCTTTGGGAGAGGCAGAAACTGAGGCTCAGTGAGTCCCAGGATCTAAAATTAGGTTCTGATTTAGGGTTTTAGTAATGCTAATATTTAGCATTTAGTAATAGTTGCTACGGACCTGTTTCCTGTTTTGCCAAGCCCTTTATGGCACAGGACCTCCATACAGCCCTGATCGGTGGTACTCTGTTGTCCCCATTTGACAGAGAGGCAGAGGGGCTTGCCCTGGGCCATGTGACTAGTGAGCAGCAGAGGCAAAAGTTGAACCCAAGCAGCAAGATTCCATGCTGTGCGAGTGATGTGGTGGAAAGTGGGGGACCAGAAGCCAGTGGGAACCAGGGAGGGAGGAGTGGGCATGGTCTTGAGCTGAGATTTGGAAGGCCCCGGGTCAGCTAAATCTGGGAAGTGCTGATGCTTATTGGGAGCTGCAGTGCACAGGTCCCTTGCTGGGTACTGACCCTGGAGCGCCATGGCAACCAGGTGATGGGACTGGGACCCAGAGAAGTTCATGGTTTGTCCAGGGTCACTCTGCTGGTTCATGTGATTCCAGGTCCATGTGGCTCCAGCCCTTGGCTCTGATGAAAGGAGATAAGGGGCTCTGGGCAGAGAGAGAGACCTGCTACATCACGGCCTGACAGCGGAGGGCACTTTCCTGCCTCTTCTACTAACAGGTTCTGAGTCATAGCCGCCCCCTTCTCTCTGCCTTAATCCAAGGAAAACATAGGGGAGGCCAGGGTACCCGCTTGGGATGGGGAGGCCTGGGTCCTACCCACACATTTGCTTATACTTGATGGGTAACCTTGAGCAGGTCCAAGTCCTATCTGGGCCTCAGTCTCCCCACCCTTGAGAGTTGGAATTGGTAGACTTCCTGCTCCTGTGACCCAGGCTTGTAGGAGGAAGGGGCTGTTCCCAGCACTGGGCTGGGGTTGGGGACGGTCAGGGGAAAGCGAAGTCAGAGCTCAACCCTGCCGCAGCATCTTGAGAGCCAGGACCCAGAGGCTGTTTTTATCCTCCGAGACCCTGAGACAAGGCCAAAGCTCAGTTTTATTTTTGCCCTCAGGTTATATGAGAGCTAGGGACTGAGCTAGGGTATGAGCTCTGGGCATGAGTCGGTAGTAGGAAACCTGACCCGTAGGCCTCCCCCTTCTTTGGCAGGGCCACAAGGCTGGGAAGGCCCTGGCCTACTAAGAGGCCCAGTGTACCTCACCCAAGGGGAGCCCCAGCCTGCAGGACAGGCTCTAGCCAGCAAGGCCTCAGGACATGGGCACAGAGTGGCAGGTGCTTGGCATCAGGCTGCTTTCCTGCCACTTCCCTTCTTCTCTCCCAGTTGTCGACTACCTGGCTCCTGAGGCAGGTTGGCTGCTTGCTCTAAGTCCCAGCACCCTCTGCTTCCCAGACATGACCCCACCTGCCTTGGTTATTTGCCTGCCTCCCCCCAGACAGGAACTGTGAGAGGTGCAGCGTGACTTTGGGCATTTCTTTGTCTCTCGCACCTGGCACGGGAAAGGTTCTCTTTAAAAGCTGGATTTATTAATGGCTCTGATAGCAGAATTGGCAGACTGGTTAGGTGACATGATTCAGGATGCTAGGAAGGGAACTTAAGAGGCAACAGTTCGAGAGAAACAGACTGGAGCCAGGTAGAGAGATGGGTTTTGGATAAGAGGAGGCTTCTACTTCTAAATGTCCTAGGAAAAGCACCAGGCAGATTTAGATTAGCGTGTGACTGACTGATATAAGCTTCTTTCCTGAGAGTAGACGTCATGGGAGTAGATGAGTCTATGAAGGGGAACACCCAGGCAGCCAGAGGTAGGGACAACTTCCCTCCCACCTTGGGTCAGTTTTAGGCCCAGGGGGCCTGTCTGGAGAGAAAGGTGATGCCACCTTTCTACTTACAAAAAGGCTGGGAATTAGGGTGCCAGTTTGCTAGGCTTATTCTCAGCTGGACCTGTCTCAGGGAACAATCTGACCTGACCTCTGTACTCTGAGATTTCAGGATGGTGGGGGGACACATCAGAAGCAGATGTGGGGGGACACATCCGAAGCAGAGATCACAATAGCAGGAGAAAAGTTCTGGACCCAGGGTGTACACAGGCATAGTTGGGTGGGTACTTCTCCCCCCAAAGACCAGAGAGGGCTGTCTAGGAGAGGAGACTTGCACAGCTAGGTGAACAATCATGCAATAAAAGTCATGACAGCTACCAAGCCCTCTCCGTGGGCACACACCATTTGGCCAGAGCATTCTGGGAACAGGAAGTCTGCTTTGTCAGGGCATGGGGTATCAGCCAGCGGGAGCAGAGTGTGGGAGGCCAAAATAGCCCTCGTGGGGAGCAGTTAACTGGGCTCCAGAGCTGTGCTTAGCACCACACACACCCCTGTGAGGGACTCTGGTCACCCTCTCCAAGGAGACTGCAGGAAGAGAGGGTGCCTTGCCTGATATCACACAGCTAATGAAGAACAGGGAAGGGATGAGCCAGTAGCAAACTGAACAGGGTGGGTCCCGAGGACAGGCAGAAGCTCAGACACGTTCAGAGGCTGGAAAGTAAAATGCATCTGGAGAAGGAGAAATTGAAATGGAGAGTTGGGTCGGAGGAGAGGTCGCTGAGGAGGCAGGACAGCAGGCTGGAATTTAGGGCACTTTATGTGGGCTGAGCTCCCTCTGGCAAAGGGCCGCTGCAATTTCCTTGGTGCAGGGAAAGGAGGCGAAAGGAGAGCGGGGTGCAGAACAGGTGCAGATGCTGGTGGGGGAGAGCTGGGGCCTTCCTGCTGACTGTCTCACAGAGTGGGGGATTCTCCAAAGGTGACGTTCACCTGAAATTCAAACTCCTTCCAGTGATTGCACCATTAACACACAGGCCACAGGCAGCTCGTTATAATGCTATATTTGGAGTGGAAGAGCAGGAGGCATTCCAATTATCTGCTCATTTCTAGAAATGCTAGAGCTGGAGGGACGGTTGCTTAGAGAACAAAGCCAAAACATCAGAATGAAATCGAGAGAAAGAAGATTTCCTATTCTAAGCAGAGCTTATGAGTAAGCATCTCTGTGACACTTTGGAAAGCATGTGTCAGAAAATGCATAGTGCCTCAGCGGGCTCTGGGGGAGCCTGCGTTCATCACTCATCTCTGCACTAAAAGTTGAAAAGGCCTCGAGTCTTCATGGCCCTCCTGCAAACACTCACCACACCCGAGTTGTGGCTGTGTAGATGGCGCCACTTTCTCTGGGAACCACGTGGGCGGTACTGTGTGCACACTCACACACACAGAGAAACACACTCACGTGTGCAAGGAGGTGGGAGGACCCCTTCTTTTCTTGCAAAGCTAGAAGGCTTGCTCTTCCTCCTGGATCCATCTTGTAAGCCCCAGTGTTGACAGCCAAAGATTCTGACACTTGTGAGCAGTGACAACCAAGTGCGGTCAATGGCTTCCTTGTTCCCTTATCGTCTCAACGGTCGTCAGTGAACGAAGCAATGAATGGGCCCACCGTCCTGACACCGACACTTGCTTCAAAAAGTTTTCTTTAATGTCAAAGCCGTATCGCTCGTTCGTGGCAGAGCTGGGCTCTTCTGCCAGCCTGCCACTGCTGTGGGCTGGGAGCTGCCCCCTGGGGTCCTGGTGGGTGCAGTCAGGGCTGATGCCAAGGAAGGTGGGTGCACACCCATTGGCACAGCATCTTCCTAGCTGGTTCAGGCCCTAAGGCTTTTTCTCCAGGCAGAGCCTGTGGAGCCCCTGATGATTTGGGGGGGTTGATCCTTGTTTCAACCTGTGGGAGGTTGGTGATAGCAACTTTATTTACTTTTAATATAGTTATTTTTATGACTTTCCACTTACTGAGCACTTATCTCAGAAAGGCTTTATGCAAGTGATCTATTTTATTAGTGCCCGCCTGCAGATAAAGAAACCTGGGCTCGCCAAGGTTAAGTGCTAGGTCACAGCTAATGTGGACCGAGGTCACAACCCTGGTGGCCTGACTGGGTTTCTGACCTGCATGTTACCGAGGCGGGAGGATGGTAGTGGAGGTTATCCTGGAGTCTCGGGGGTCGTCTCCCAACCCGGTGCTGACGGCCGCTGTCCTGGTTGCAGGTGCCCTGCTGCAGGAGGAGAAGCTGGATGCGGTGACCCTGCTGTATGCCACCTCGCTGCCCAGCTTCTGCCTGCTGGCGGGCGCCACTCTGGTGCTGGAGGCCGGCGTGGCATTGCCGCCAGCTCCCACTGACTCCCGCCTCTGGGCCTGTATCCTTCTCAGTTGCCTCCTGTCCATCCTCTACAACCTGGCCAGCTTCTCCCTGCTGGCCCTCACTTCTGCCCTCACCGTCCACGTCCTGGGCAACCTCACTGTCGTGGGCAACCTCATCCTGTCCCGGCTTCTCTTTGGCAGCCGCCTCAGTGCCCTCAGCTATGTGGGAATTGCGCTCACCCTTTCAGGAATGTTCCTTTATCACAACTGCGAGGTCGTGGCCTCCTGGGCTGCCCGCTGGGGCTTGTGGCGGAGGGAAAAGCCTGACAAGGGTCTTTGAGGCCTGAGGATGTTCATGGGCCTCCTGGAACAGCCCCAGCCTGAGTCTGGGTGTGGCCAGCGACTGTGAGAAAAGTGGCGCACCGGCAGCCACCACCTCTGGGGCCGTGGTGGACATGCTGTGGAAAGGTCACCTTGGAGGTTGGAATGGGGACTGCCAGAGACGCACCCCATCTCTGCCTGCCTCTCCATGTCATGGACCCTTCTCACCACTGGATGGTGGGTCTTAGCCTGGCACGATCACTGTACTTGTCAGAGTAATCACCACAATTAGTATCAACACCGCTTGAAGTTGCTGGCCAAGTTCTGGAAACTTCACCCAGCTCTGAGGAGGCCGTTGCTGATTCCTGGCGGTCGCACAATCCTTCCGGAAATTGGGGGAGGCAGCTAGGGGGCCCAGGGAAGAGCTTCTTTGCTGTGGGCTCCCCCCAGGGAATGGGGTCATCGTGCCAACTCCAGGTAGCTGCTGTGGCCTCACCCTGGGCCCCCCAATTTTGGGTCTTCCATCCTCAAATAAACTATTTTTGCTTGTACTTTTGTGTCATTCCTCAGGGTTACAGCCAAAGAAATAAGAGAAAAGTCAGTAGCCACTGACCACTGGCCACCCACTCTGGCCTATGCAGGCCCCCAGCGCCTTAAAGTCTCCCACTGGCCAGACTGCCCTTGTCCACCTCTGGACAGCGGCAACTTCCTCTTTGACTTGGCTCCTCCACTCCATCTTCCAGCCAGCCCAAGGGATCTTTCCCAAACACACACCTATGGCTCCACTGCTCCTGTGGCAGAGTCAGAGCTTCCTGCCATGCACCACAAGGCCTCAGGGTCTGACGCCTATGGCCTGACCAGGGCCTGTCTTGTTTTCCCACTTTTGGCCCCACCTTCCAGCCTCACCAGTGTCCTGGTCCCCCAGGCCTGCACAGTGGTGCCTCCGCACATGCTGTTCCCTCTGGTATGCTGTTCCCTCTGTCTGGCATCCTTTACTCTTCTTGTGGCCAAAACCTTGGCTGAGGGAGAAAACCCAAACACGGAACGTTCCTTTAAAAGAGAAGCCATAAAGGAAGCTTGATGAAGGAAGGATCCCAGCAAGGGGCAGTGTCCAGGGCTGTGGATGCAGAGGGCTGAGTTGGGTGACCTCATAGAGGAGGGAGGGCCCAGCAGGGAGGGCGTGGAGACCTGGGAGCGGGCCTGGGACATGTGTGCTAACCCCTAGCACTAGCCCAGAACCTCCCCAAACAACTGGTTGAACTCAGCCTTTCCTGGGGTGTGTGCACTTAACCTCCCACCTGCTGCCCATTTAAATGATAAGGGCCCAGCCATCCTGAAGTAGGGAGACCTGGGATTTAACTGCCCACCTCCCTGCGTATCCTGGGTAGGTGGCCTTTCTCTCTGGGCCTCTGTTTCCTTGTCTGAAAGATGGGGCTTTGGATCCCATAGAGAGATTTCGAATGAGGAATGTGGTGGGCAGGGCGGGGCATAAGAAGTGTGTGACTGGGCAGCTAGCTTGGTTTCTCTCTCCAACTCGTCATCCACCCACTCTGAGGTTCCCAACTGATCTGGAGAATGGCCATGGTCTCCCCTTTCTGCCTGAGGATGGCAGGTAGACCAGGCTGGGCTGGGTAGGGGCCTGGGTCTCAGGGAGCCAGCAGTCTTTTCTTCCCGTAGCCAGCCTTTGTGGAGGATTGCTGTGCTGTCCAGTGGGAGGCAGGACTGCGTGGGAGGATCACCCCAAGCCTGGGGGTGGGGACAGTGATGGCGGCAGGCACCTTGTCCAGGGAAAACAGACAGGGTTTGGGGTTCAAGCCTAGCCCAGACTGGGCTTGCAGAGGGAGGTGGGCCCAGGCTGAGTCACTCACCACCACCCTCCCTGTGACTCAGAGATGCCTCTGGCCCAGGCCCAGCACCTCTCTCCTCCCCATGCTGAGGGTTGGTCAGGCAGGACACAGGGATATGTGGCTTTGGGCGTGCAGAATGCAGACTGCCCTGGTGACTCAGGATGCTTCCCCTGCAGGGGCCCACGGCTGCACTAGAAGCCTCCCTCCAGTACCTCGCCCGCTTCCTGGACCACTGGAATGCTTGGCTTAATAGTGAGCCTCCTGGCAGACCAAAGCCTGCTCTGGTGATTGTGGCAGGGGACAGGGATTCCTTGGAGCTGTGCTGGGCTCTGGGGTTGGTCTGTCGTCTGACATTGGGGTGACCACCTCAGGGTCACTGTTAAAGCCCTCCTCGTCAGCCCTTGCAGTGGTGGGCACGAACACTGGGCTGGCGGTCGGAAAGCCCGAGTTCTCGTGCTGGCCCCCACTCACGAGTGGCCTTTGTCTCCTGACCTAGGAGTGCAGCGGGGGTGGGCGTCACTGGGATAACAAGTTAACTAGCCTCCTTGGTGGGTGATTCCCTTGGACAGGCCACTGTCTCTCTTGGTAGTTCTCTTGCCCTGGGCAAGTTACTTTCTCTCCTCGGAACTTCAGACTTGCTGGGCACTTTTGGCACCAGAGGGGATCATCCTTGCTTTAAATAATGCCCCAAGGCAAGCTGAAGTTGTGCCCCAAGGCAAGGGTGGGGCTGCACTTCCCCAGTCAGTCAGCCAGCGCCTGAGCACTTTCCATACTGGATTAGATTCCCACAGAACTGGGCCCCCGAGGGCAGGGGCCACTGTCCTGCTCACCCCACCCCCCACAGTGCTTTGTCCAGACAAAGTGGAAGAGACTGAGTCAAGGGGCCCCTGGGGTAAATGTGGATTCAGAGCCCAGCTTTGGCACCAAGCGTGTTCTCTGTGTTAAGTGAGAACTCAGCCCTGTCTAACTCCCGAGGCCACAGGAGGTTAAAGTGCTCTGGGCGCTTAGCAAAAGTGTCTGCAATTCAGTGGGTCCTAAGACATGTTAGCAATCCGACAAGCACTGCAGGCCGACATGTTACAGACGTCTCCCCGTCACCTCCCCCAGGCTTTCAGGCTATGCTGGCCACGCCCACTGCCCCAGCCTTCCCCGTCAGTGTTCCTGCTGGGAGAGACAGAACAAAGCAGGACAGACACCCCCTTGCCGCCTTGGAGGAAGCCTGGGGAGCTGGGTCTGTGCTGGGCATTCTGCCATCTCCGACTCCGAACAAAGCTGCTGCCTCCTTTCAGCCCCAGCTGCCGGGGCTGCCTCCTTCTCTCCAGGGGCCCTGGGATTGTCATTCCAGGGGCCTAAGCAAACAAGGACTCTTCTTGCTCCCTAATCTGCTCCTAAATCGGTCTTGGACTGGCCAAGGCTCCACCATTACACAGTTCCTGCTCAGTTGTAAATACTTCCTGGAAATAACCCAAACTACTTAATGGAGGGCACTGGAGAGCTGCCACAGAGGGTTTTGAACAAACAAGGGTCATGATGTGCAATAAGCAGGCTTGACAATGGACCTGCGGCTTAGCTGGGATATGATGTGGAGGAGAAATGGCCTGAGCAGGCCCCTGCGAGATGAAGGCAAGGCTCTTATTGAGGCCCGGTGAGAGGTGACCATGCAGATGGTGTCTCCAGCAAGCTCACCACCGAGTGATACAGATCATGTTGATTTGGGGTAAAGAATCATCCCCCAACATTGTGGTTTAAAGCAACAGGTATGAATTAGCTCCATTTCTGTGGGTCAGGAGTCTGGGGGTGACTGAGTGGAGTGAGTCTGGTTCCCGGTTTCTCGTGAGGCTGCAGCCAGTGGCTGCGGGGCTGTGGTTCTCAGAAGGCACAGTCGGGCCGTGCTTTTTTTTTTTTTTTAAAGATGTATTTATTTATTCATACAGAACTGGGGTACAGGCCAGAGATGCGGAGGGTGAGAGGCTTCACCAGAGACAGAGTGGGCAGCAGAACAGGCAGATTGACGAAGTACACTGCTGAGGGGAGCAGCAGGCGGGTCAGGAGAGGTCTGCCACGCCATGTGGTCACCTCCAGGGCAGGCGGGAATCGAACTCATGCGGAAGTGGCTTTAGCTTCTTAGTGCTGTGCTTTAACCCGCTGCGCCACCAGGGAGGGCCGCCAGCCGTGCTTTGTAATGGCACCTGCATAACAAAGTTCTTTCAGGGAAACCTCAGGAGCCCCCAAGGTCCTCCAATTTACCTTCTTCCTTGGATTGCTGAGTGAAAAGCCACTCTAGTCAAGCCTGAAGTAAACTGAGAAAAGCTCTCTCAAGAGCCCCAGACTCAGCCTCCCCTACTTAGAATATGAGACCCTGGCCCTACCCCCACTCTGAATATTAAATATTTTTTGAAGGACACTCAGAACTTTATTTTCTCCACTATGGGGGAAAAAAAGTTTTAAGGAATATACCACAATACCAAAATGTTGACTTGGTTACTGCTTGAAAATAGAAAAACTGACTGGGTAGTATTTATTTTCCTTTTTTCACAAATGAGCATGTATTTTTTTAAAAAAAATACATTTCTTAGCGTTCAGTTTTAAGTAAGAGGATAAATATAGTCTGTCCTTTCTCCTGAATGCAACTGAAAACCCTGAGCAGAAGGCATGAAGTAGCAATCTGAGGACTCTGAAAAAGAAATGGTAGCAGGTAGGTTGGGAAAGAGAATCAGAGGTACAAACACTCTGGAGCTGGTTTCCTGTTTGGACCATTATTCCTGGCTCCAGGCCTGGTCTCAAAGGCAATGCGAAGAGCACCAAGGGGCCCTGACTTTCTGGTCTGAGGAGTAGGGAGGAGGGCCTCCCCCGCCCCCTTCTCTGGCCCTGCCCCTGGGGAGCCTCTTACAGAAGCTGAAACCACGCAGCAGGGAGGCGTCTGGGAAAGCACGAAGACTCTGCAGGGCTCTCTCTGACCTGTGTGTGTGTGTGATGGGGCAGGGATGTGGGGGGAGAGGTGTGGTGGTGATGGAGGAAGTGATAGTAAGGAGGCACCCCGAGGCCGAGGCCGACTCACACAAGGAGTCTGGGGAGGAAGGGATGAGCACAGCCAATGACCCAGCTGTAGAAACCTAGATCCTGAGGCACCAAGGCCTAGGCTCCAGAGCATAAGATCAGAGCAGGTAGTGGCTGCTGTAGGCTGTGTCTATCACAGACCCAAAAGGTGAAAGATAAAGATAAGGAGATGGAGCCCATTGTGGGGTCTCCTGTCCCTTTTAGATTCTACTCAGAATCATCAAACCTATGCTCCCGAGGAGTGAGCCCCTCCCAAAGAGAAGTCTACACCAGGGCAGTCTCTCCACCAGCACAGGGCAGCCACTCCTCTGCCCACCTGGCCTGTGCAGGTGCCTCTTCCCACCCGCTCTCTCCCTCTGCAGGGCCGCAGCCTCCTGCCTGCCCATGACCTGTACCAGGCCAGGATTTCTCTGCACTGACCTCCCTCAGTGGAGGCCGCTCTCCTAAGGCCGCCTACCTGCAACCATGCAGGCCTCTCTCAGCAAGCCTGTCCCTTCCGGGGCAGCTCTTCTTGCCTACTTGTGCCTATGCAGGTGTCCAGTACTCTTGTCCTTTTCCCTAATAAACCTGCTCTTTAAATATAACCGCGTCTCTGTCTCGTGGAGAAACACCGCATGCTGCTGAAAGGGAGTTATGGTG